CAGCAGCTCTCCATGTCTTCTAATATTATTACTGTAAACATTGTTAGAAAGGCAGTGAAATAAGTATATGTAACCTGGAAAAAACACACAGAACAATCAATTTTGAGTGTATGAAATACCAGCAGACATTGTGAGCTAAAAGGAGAAGCTTTGGAAAATGTTTTGAAACTTTACCTAGTGCATCACCTTACTTCTTTCCAGCAGTGATGCAGCTAGCAGTATAAATCGCACTGTAAATAGAAATATTAATTATCCTTTTTTTTTCCATGTTGTGTTATATTTCATACAGGTTGTTATGATGGCTTAGTGTATGTGCTTCAAACCAGTGATGGAGAAATACACTGGACTTTTGTCACAGAAGATACTGTGAAAAGTTCTGCAGTTGTAGACCCTTTCAATGGACTAGTCTACATAGGATCACATGACCAACATGTGTATGCTTTGGATATTTATGTAAGAACACTGACTAACTTGTATGTATAGAAGAATAAATATTCAACTTAGACTCTGTTTGTAGTATAACAAATGAAACTTCACTGGTGTTAGTATTCTCAGGAGTCCACAATTATGCTTTTGAAGTAGTTATGCCTTCTTGAAGTGGTTAGAATTATGTGGTAGCAGTGTTGTCAGCTGTGGTTCTTGTGCTACTATTCCTGGTTGAAACCAAATCTTAAATTTCTTAGTTATTAAATTCTCTGTGAGCGTTTTCAAATAGGGTGCCCAGCTGGAACCAAGACTATGGCTTAATGGTGGAGAGAGTATCTTACATTCTAAAAGGGTAGATGAAGGGAGATGGAAAATAAGACAGGCAGATACTGCCTCTTCACTAGCTGAATTTCTTTACTAAGGAAGTAGCCAGTGGAGTTATGTGTTGCTATAATAGCATGTAGATTGTATCTTAAATTCTTAACTAGTATTTGTTGAGTAAATGTAGTGCTTGATAAGCTTTGACATTTGAAGGTCTTTGTAAGAGTGCTGAACTTGAACTCCAATTGAGGTTTTTTCTTTTATCTTTTTTCTTTTTCTTACAGAAAAAATCATGTATATGGAAGCTGCATTGTGAAGGTGGAGCTGTGTTTTCATCTCCTTGTCTAAGTTCTTTCCCACATCATCTTTATGTTGCTACACTAGGAGGACTATTGCTGGCTGTAAATCCAGTATGTACCTTTGCTTACTTGCCTTTGATCTCAAATTTAAATGAAACCAAATTGCGTTTCTGAAGCTAATATTCTGATGAAAGGAACTGGATCATCATATGTTACCATAAGGTATTTTTCATTTACGGGCCTTGTTATTATACACAAGGTTAATATAATAATTCCTGTATTTCAGAATATCTGGTGATAAGGAGAACTGAAATGACTTGCTAGAATTCACATGCTGACTGTAGACCAAAGTTTGAATCCATGTCTTCTCATTACCTTATACTTACCTTATCAGTTAAACCAGTGAGTGAGAGCTTCTCTATAGATCTTTTTTTCCCCTCCCTCCCTTTGACAATAGGATTAGAAAAACAAAATACACAGAACTTACTGAAATAAGAATAAAGAAGCCCCTTCATTCCTCTTGCTGTTTTCCTCCCCATCTAAGGAGCTGTTCCCCTTAAGCTTGGAGTGCTGTTCTGTTCTCTGCACTGGGGAAATTGTGTTCTTGATAGATGTGGAGCAGTTTCAGGGTTTTCTGCAGCATTGTTGGCTTACAGCTGGTCCTGCCTGATAAAAGGAACAGTCACTTGGAGCAGCTGTTCGTGTTTTTGTACTTGCACAACCCAGAGCATCAGTCCTAACATCTTCACCTCCCACCCACTACAAATTTCCTCAGTAATACTTAGCCTAGTGTTAGAAAAACAGTGTGTGGTTTTGCAGCTTCGGTGGGCTATGGTTAATAAAACACAGGAGTTTTTTTCATAATGCTGTGTAACAGGTACTTGAGAAACTCAGCTGTAACTCCAAGTGATTATTTAGAAAAATAGGAATGTGCAGGTTATGTTAGTAGCTCATTGTGGCAATCACAGATCATGGGTTTCAGCATTTATAGTTTATGACATAATAAATATTACTTGCTTTCAAAATATCCTCTTCTTCATTGATCTTTGTCACATTGAGGAGCTGGGAATGGAATAAAAAAAATTAATCTGTAGTTTATTAGAACTACTACTATAGTATTATCATTATTATTTTGCCAAGGTGGAGGAAGAGAAGGATGAAACAGGAGTATTGCGTATACCAGTGAAAGCAGTGTTTTGTTTTTAGTAAGATTTGAAAAGTGCTTTTGCTGCTGGTATGTGTTTGGGGTGGGAGATGCCTGCTATTCTTTATTGTTGTGGTATTTTCCCCCCTGATTCTTAAGGGATAGGTCAAGCTGTGAAGGGTTGTTCAGCTTCTTACAGTTCTGTTAGGCATCAGATATTCCATGCTGCCAATTCCAGGTGATGGGAAATAAGATTTGGAAAAGCTTCCTGGGAAAACCACTCTTCTCCTCTCCTCATTGCAATGAGAAGTATGTTTGCATTGGCTGTGTGGATGGAAACTTGCATTGTCACACTCATTCTGGAGAAAAGGTAAATGTGGCGGTGTTTTGTTTTTTTTAATGTTCACCACAAAATCCTGAGTAAGATGCTTTATTCATACTGTTTTCTGAGGTTTCATGATTAGCATATACGTTTTCGTAAGCTAAGTATGTCTCTGTTGTTAAAGAGAGGAGAAGGCAGAAAAACTGTTTGCCTAGTGTAGTTCAGGCAGTTCATAGCAAAACTGCAAACTCTGAAGTTGCAGTAACAGAATCTCTAGTTCAGAGCTCACACCCAAAGTAAATGGTTGAGAGTAGTGCCAGCAAATGAAATGGTATGGTTTTGTTTTTGAAGTTTTTCAAGCATGTTTAAAGCCATCACTTGTGTAAGATGGTGGCTATATAGAAGTAAAGATTTCCAACAATGTTTATGCAGTTATCAAAAAAACGCCAAATCATAATTCTGGCAAAATATGTGTCAGCTTTCATGTTGAATTAAATGAGAATAGTTTTTTTATTTCCTCAGAGATTAATGTGGTTTGTATCTGGTGCTGAAAAAACTGATAATGTTTCTGTTTGCCTGAGGTGCAGTATACGTGACAATTCCTAAGCCTTTTCTGTGTTAGCCCATGTCCTGCTGTCTGCTTGCAGCAGTGTTGCAGAACTGATGCTCTCTTAAGGAGGAATCTGCATCATTAGCATATTTGCCTTTTTGAGAGAGCAGCATGTTAACATATTTCTTCACTACTAATTATGGTACAATAGCCCAAGAATAATCTTTTCCCAAGATGTCCATCTTTACATGGACCTCACAGAAGACTGTAACTCTTGTACATCTGTTTTATGAGTCTTTTATCACTCTTTGTGTAAAACTCAACTTTTTAGTAAGTTGACAAGTGTTTACCAGCCCTCACTGAAATCCAATATGCTTTTGAAATAAAATGCTCTCCTCTCAACAACTAATCTATTAAAAAATACAATTGCTGTCAAACTGATAATATGAACAATCTTTGATAAAGGGTGGTTATGTCCTTTCTGTAGGTTTGGCAGTTTTCCACTAATGGACCAGTGTTTTCATCTCCGTGTATCTCCAGTTTAACTGAGCAAGAAATATTTTTTGGCTCCCATGATGGCTTTATCTACTGTTGTAACATGGAGGGTAATTTACTGTGGAAATTTGAAGCCACTTCAAGTGTATATGGAACACCATTTGTTTTCCAAAGTGATGAGTTAAAGAACAAAATTCTTTTGGCAGCAGTATCTACAGATGGCAAAGTGTGGATCCTGAATGCCAAGAGTGGAACAGCAGAAGGAGTAGATAAGCTTCCAGGAGAGGTCTTCTCTTCCCCTGTAGTATGGGGAACAAAGCTTGTTGTGGGCTGCAGAAATGATTATGTTTATTGCCTAGATTTGTATGTAACAGGAAAAAAACATTTAAGATGTTAGGTTGTTTCCTCTTTATTGTTTACATTTGTAAAGTAAGAACTCAGAAGTGCTCTCTGTTTCTCTGCCTGTTTTACTGGAAGCAAGAGGTGCTCTTTGCAAACTTCTCAGGTAGCACCAGGCAATGTCCAGAGTAGGTAAAGATATGTTTGCTGACTTGCTGTACTGATTGAAGGAGGATGGCTGCTCAGCACCAGCCAGAAGTTCCACTCTCCCTCCCTCATTTCCTAGCTTTGAGTCATGAAAGAACGTTTTAGATGGTTTGGATTTGAATGTGATGCTTTGACCTGTGTAGTAAGAAAACAAAAGTCAGTAGTTTGTCTTCAAACACTTGCAGGACTGTGAGAAACTATGCTAAGGTGCCATTCTCTGCAGCATGGAATAACATGCTTGGCTCCCTGAGGGACAAATGTGTTGCTCTCTCTGCATCCAGCCTAACCTGCGCCTGGCTTTTCCATGCATCACACTGGTGTTAGTCTAGTCTAACTTTTATATGTTGTGGCAAGGTAAGCCAAGTCCTTTTCTGATTCTAACTTTTAACTTGATTTCTGAAGACATTGCCTGTGTTGCATATACCTGGTAGTAGTGACCTGTTTACTATAGTTAGCATACACTGGATAGTTTATCTTTTGTGAACCTGGGTCCTCCTTGGCTTCAGTTCAGCCAAGCATATACTTAATTCCGTTGAAGTCAGTAGGAGTTACTTTTTGTATTTTAAAATGGAGAATATACTTACACATGTATATTTATTATATTTCAATGAAGGGAACAGTATGAGTTCCAAGATGAAGTATGCACTGCTGAAATCAATGATTGTAAAATCATTTTTTGAGATACTTGAATTAATAACGCTCTCCCAGTGGCTTTACAGAGAACTATTAATAAAGGGTGTAAATTTGGTTTGGTTGTCTTTACTGCCTTAAAAGGAATTACCAGTGGTCTCAGTAATGTGAATCGAGTATTTGCAGTGACAAAGTACACTTAACCGAGAGTGTCTTCCTGATTATGAGTCCTCTAAGAGAACTATGGTCAAAAGTATTATCCCAGTCTCTCTGAGGAGCCATCTAGTTTGAATTCTAACATCTTGAATTAAAGAGTAGAGTTGCACTGGCTGTGTTGCTCCATCATGTCTGGTTCCTTTGTTTTATCATTAACATAAATGATTAGGCAAGACAGTTGTAGCTCTGTAAGAAGTTCTGTTTATAAAGCAAACCTGAACCACATGGTTAGCAAAAGGTGACACAGAATACGTAGATCACCAAATAGATAATTTTGACTGGGTTATAGTTTAATAAGAATTAAAATGACATTAGTATAATAAACAATTGCACTTTAAAACATTTTAAAAATTAAAAAAGTACACAACAAATACCCCACAATTATACATCTTACAGTTTTTATACATTACTGTATGAACATAGAGGTTAATCATATATAACCTTGTCAGAAGAAATGGTATTTTTTGTGTATAAGTTACAAAAAATTGAGACAATATACTACATAGTGGTTTGTTCGGTTCTTAAAACATTTTTGCTGTTACGTGGTAGTAATGATTCGGTTTTACTTTTACAGTTTTCCAACACTTTATCAGAAATGGTTGCAACAAAGCTAAAGCAAAGTAACACTTCACTTCATTGGTATTTAGTGCAAATTTCTGTTAATTTAACATGAAATGTTGCTGTCGAACGTATACACTTCAGAAATGTTTTCACCAATTACTGTACATAATACAGTTTTCCTTATTACACTAGATACCTTTATGGTTGAAAAAAATCCCTCTGCTTTGAAGTTTTAGATTAAGACCATCCTTAATGAAAGCTCTATTTTATGTGCTATAAATGTATTGTATTGGAAAATTGCATCCTTATGTCATGCACGATAGCACCTAATTTTGCTATGCTCTTCAGAATACCAGTCTCTTAATTCTTTAATTCTGACTTACCTCACCTTCTCTATAGTTGTGCCTGGCTCCTTCTCCTAATAAACAGTTATAAAGATGGCTTTCAGGCAGTTTAGTTCTTCTAATTACAAATACATACTGCAGCTTCTAAACTCAGAATTGTAAATATAACTTAAGAAGCACTAATTCATGGTGCTAGCAGAGCAAAAATGGGCCAGATTCTTTCTTCAGGTAAGTCTGCAGAGATTTGACATTGAAGGCATTGTTGGGTTTTTTCCCAAGCATTTGAGAGTAGTGTTGCCCCATCTCTGTATAAAACATTTTAAATACTTTTATTAAGGGTAAAAAGTTACTCTAGATAACTCTGGTTTTAAATATGAAACTGAGCAAAGTAGATGGCTTAAGAGATGCCAGAAAAACCCACCCCATCTTGCTGCTGCACAGCTGCTCAATCTAACATGTTTACTGTTTGTGCTATTGTAACCATGATACTGAACCACTGTTTTCTGTTTGGTGGGAAATTGTCTTCAAAAATTACTTTTGCTGACAAGCCATTTTTGATTCTTGGAACAGATATGGCAGATTTCATTCTGTTTTCTGCATAATTTAAAGTGCTACTCCTCATGCTGCATACAGCAGTTTGGCTAAAATACTTCTGTGAAACACATCACTGTATAATTTTTTTCTCATGAAAATGTCTTCCTTTATGACACTGTAGGCTTAAAGGTTCCTTTGAGCCTTGTGGTTATAAGGAGATGTTCTAATTTGTTAAAGGCTTCCTTGTAAAATAAACTTGGGTGTGTTACATATTTATTTACTAGGGTACATTTAATATTTCTGTGGGATGTTGAGGATAGTAAAATTTCTATTACATTATGGACTTTATCCTTTTCTATAAGAGGGAAAGAGGTGAACATTTCTATTTTAGTTACAAGAAGTAATAAAGTGTTCAACTGCCACAGGAAAAACCTGAGATAGCGAAAGTAATCTTCTTTCTGAAGTGTTATGGCTGTGTTGGTCAAAGTACAGGAGGTTATCGGAACCATTGAAGTTGAACATGCAGTAAAATCAGGAAGAACGCAGAGTTAAGACTCTTGAGGCTCTCTCTGACTTACCTTTCAGTTCTCATTTAATTTCAGTTCTGCAAGTCTTACTCCTGTGGGAACATACAGAGACTAATACTACAGCTACACAAGCACAGGAGTAGTTTCACTTAGTTTCGTTCCAGTCGATTGATTTAAAGTTGTCATCTGCAATCACTGTCTCTGTGCATCTTAAATATGGCCAAGAATAAACAGTGATGCACTTAAAGGACTAGAAGAAACACTGATGCCCTGGCTTCTTTCTGAAGGCTTTCTCACTTTTGTTCAAATAACTCTTTTAGTTAAGTAGGATGAACTGTTTTCTTCCTAGGAGTAGGGAAGTACAAACATAGTGATGAAAGATCCTATGATGAAAGAAATTACCTCAGCATTTGGAGGGTACCGTCTTGTCATTTGCAGGTGAAAAAATATCTCCTGAAGTTCTTCATTATGGAAGGAGCCATCAGGCAGGTAGAACTGACACTTCATCCAGTTTAACACTTTAGAAAAATTAGGAATAAGAGAAGGGAACACGCATCTTGCCTTAGTTTTCAACAGTGGAGTGCTGAAAAAAATTCTGAGATCTCCACTTAAGTGTGGAGATATAAAATTCCAGAACCAAATGCTCATGGAATTTAAGGAGCTTCTGAACTGAAGTTCTTGCCCTTTTAATGATACATGCTAAAATTTACATCCAGTGTCTGAGCATTCTTGTTTTTTGAGTGTATGGCTCTGAAATTTTTGCCATTACCTCATTTAGCTATTTGTCAAAGCAATAGAATATACAACTTGAGTAGACTTTACCATGAGCTAGAGCAAAATGGTAATCAGTTCAGTTTTCAGTCCTTCAATACATGCATTTTCAGTTTTGTCATGTGTAAAAAGCTGAATAAATAAAAAGAAAGCAATTAATACTCAGCAATAGAGATGTGATTTTACAGTTTACTTTATGATCTGTGGACAGTCACTCCAGGCTTTTGCTTTCCTCTTGGCTAATGCAAGCCAGGCTGGTTCTGTTGACACAGGGTTAGCATCAGGTGTAGAGAACCTCTTGGGAACCTCCTTTGCCAGTGGGGTTGACGGAACAGAATCTGAAATTTCCACTGTTTTTGATGGGGTGGAGAGGGAAAGATATAAAAAACCAAACATTAGCTGAACCCAGTTGCAGGATTCTAGAAGGTTTCACTTCTGTTCTATGTAGGTGTTCTTATCTAACAGTTCATATTTATTTCCAACCCTCTTAATTAAACCTTGCTTTTTATTATCTTTGCAAAATAATCAAGTTAGAAGGAGCCGAGTTTCCCTTTTCTGATGTTTCTCCAAGTAATTAATGTAACTGACAAAAATAGCAACACAATTTTGAGTCTCTGAGATCCAGAGAAACCATTTTCAATTCACTAGTCGTCGTCTTTAGATCAACTGTTTTAATTACATCTACAACGTAGCAAACAATGGGAAATAAAGCTGTTTGTTTTGTTTTCTCTCTTTGGTAATGCAGCTTCTGTGAACAAGTGTAACCAAACTGTATTCAGTAGATTGCATCTTAAATAAGCACAGAGAGGAGAGAAAGTGGTCCCAGTTTTCTGCCTCAGTTAACCACTCCTGTGATACCACCCTGAAGAAGAAATGAACCAGCTTTCTCCAACAGCTGTTTGTCACATTTTCATTAAAATAATGTAAGACAAAGAGCTGCCCTAGCAAGAAAAGGTGTTGAATAAGGAACTGATTTCTAACAAGCAGCTTCACAGAGCAGAACCGTGGAAGTATATTTTAGAAGTCAGGTGGGAATAGTGTTTTATTATGAGACAGTGAATTCTCTGGAAGGCAGCCTGGATAGAATGAGTCCAATCTGAAACCTGTGAGGTAACTCTAAAAATCTTTGTTACAAAATAACTCCTCACTAATACCCCCTCACGTGTTTTGTTCTTTATGAGCCAAAAAGCTTTTTTTGTGTCAATGTTTATAGGCAGTCTGAATTAGTTATAGTTGCATTTAATTTTCAGGTTTTGAATGGTTTAAAAATATTTAAGTTTATTTTTCTTTTTAGTACTTCTTTAATCATGTAGCAAATGCAGCAGTGCAACTTTTAAAAACCTGTTAAAACTATGCACATCCAGCATAATGGCCAGCACATCAGACTGGACAAACGGTGTTGCTCCTTGGTGAAAGCAAATGCATATGTAATTCTAGGAGTATTACAGGAGAAAAAAAATAAATTATTCACTTTCTTAAAAATATGCAATACTATTTCTGAAGTGTATTAGTCATACAGTAAATTTGAATCTCTCACAGTACCTGTCACAGAAGTTGGAAGGGTGTTTGACTTCTTTAGCTGCTCCCTTCTTTCTAGTCTTGACACAGCAGTCTCAGTTTTCTTCTCCCCTTCTTGAGTGGTAGACTTCTGCAGTGTGCTTGTTTTGCTGCTGCTGCTTTTATTATCTGACTGATTGCTTAAAGCAGCCTAGAACAGAAAAGGGAGACTGCTAAATGAAAAACTGTCAGGTAGTGGCTACAAGTAAGAGATGTTACATTTGATGCTTTCATTCATCACCTGTCCTTTCCGTAACCTCCCTTTTCAGCAAAGACTAAAAACATTCTGGTACTTCCAAAACTAGCAGTTATTATAGACTGTAAAAAAATCCCCACAAAGTTAAATTTGTCATGTTGTCATTTCAGTCAAAACATTGAACAGTTTGAGCCAGCCCTACCTATTAAATACAGCCCTGAAACAGTGTGCATCTGTGGGCACTGACACCAGTTATCTATCTCTGTAATTATGCACATGTCCATCAGTAATTCAGGTCTCATAACAAAAAACAAAATATACTTAGTTATCCACATAATCTCCCTTTTCACCACCTCTGGTATCTATATACAGCATCACTGCCTGTATAGCATCATTGCTGTACTGTAAGTAGAATGTTTTTGTTACTAATAGAAAAACCATGGATAGTAAATAGTTGTTTAGAAAACAGGAAAGATATGATACTTTAATTCAGTGCCTGCTTTAAGCATTCGGATGCTTCACATAACAGTTAATTTCTTCCATTTGTCTACATTTTATCTAAATAATCCATGTTATGATAAATTAAAACTTGCTAATATTCACCTATAAATTAGTACTCCAGCTGTTATCTACTCAGGCTTTGGAAGAACCATGCTGCACACAATTTTCCTGTTCCATCACCTGTGCTTATGATTGCCATTAACTATCACCTGATACTAAGGCTTCAGGTTTTACACTTGAATTGCCTCACTACTGCACAGTGTCTTCTCCTGGAAGTCTCAGTTTTTCAAAAGGGAACTCCAAACTTTCAGACTATTTTTACTCACTGTCATTTTAGCTTTTATGAAATCTTGCAAACCAAACATTAAAAAAAATATATCCTTTCACATAATAAAACCAGCTAAGAGTTATAATTCTGGTGTCAGTATTTCTAATGGGCAGGTTTCAAAATATTATTTACATTTTCTTTAGCCAGCTTCTCTGCTTGCTTTGCCTCTCTGGCTTGTCTCCGCTCCTCCCTCGTGGCTTGCTGCTCTCGAAATCCCTTTTGCTTTTGCAGCGCTAGCGTAATCCAAAGTGGTTGTGAAGTTTCAACTTTTTCCATCAATTTAGAGCCATCTAAAGAGTGCCTGCTCTGGAGGACTGGTTTTTCTGAAAGAAAATGGAAAAAAAATGGTTAAATGGTGCACATCTCTTGTTTCAAGCAAACCAGTACAACAACTTCGTTACCTTGTGAAAAACTTGGAGCTGAGCCTGCTGAATGCCATGCCATTGACAGACCTTCTTGGACTGTGTGTCCAATCCTGAAACAGCTTTTGTGCCTCAACAATAAGACCTAATTCAACACACTTCTACAGTTGTCCAAAATTACCCTATTTTGTTAAAAGCCTACTCCAGAATCTTAAGCTATAGCCTGATGTGTACTTCCGCTGCCTGAGCTATTTGAGTGAAAGTGATACATAAGCACTGATTGTTCACACCTCTGATAAAAGGAATCCAGCCACGATATGCTGCAGTTCCCTGGTTTACCAGCCACACTTAAGGGAAGAAGTCAAAACTTCAGGCAAATAAGGGGCACTGAAATTGTGTATGCCCATAAATGCAGCCCCTCTTAAAAAAAAACAACAACAACAAAACAAACAAAAAAACCCCAACACTAAATTGTCATTTGAGCATTTGACTTTCTGTATCCTGCATGAAATGGGAGTTAGCACCCCGTATGGAGCTGTGAGTGGCAGGGAGCAGCACTGGGGTGCAGAGGTGCTCCCACAAGGCTCAGTGAGTGCAGAAACACCCCCAATAGCGCAAGCCCTGCTAACCCAGGCCAGCAGCTCTGCCTCCATTGAGTTTCCATAAATCCTCCTTTTAAAATTGAAGTGAAAGAAAAACATGTAAAAAATAAACAGCAGTTCCACTGAGATATGGTTTTAGAACTGTATTGAAGCTTACAAAATTCAAGAATGGAAAAGATTTGGATTTCCCAATTAAATGCTGAATTTCTTGCTCTTTTGAGTGTTCTTAGGCTTAAAGGACAGCCTTTAATTTTGTGAAGAATACTATTTCAGGACACGGGGTCTTTAAGCCCTCCTCTGAAGAGTCTCTATGGCTACTGTAATTGTTTCTGTTACTAAAGAACGCCTCTGAAATGCAGACTCCTGTGCTCAGCTATATTGGATTAGAGAATTTGCCCAGGTTAGGCACTATACAGGGACGTAGATAATAATATTTTTTAAGCTAGATAAGATTCCCCTAAAAAATAGAAACAACATAATGTAAATTATAAAAAGTACTCCTTTTGCTGTGATGACACCATTGCATGTGGAACACAGAGTCCATCAACTGAATAACTAGGTAACATCTCTGTCAAGGAAAACACACATAGTCTTCAGTTACCTCCTTGAAACTGAATTTCTTAAGCCAGTCACCCTGTTCACGCTGAGTTTGTGTGTGTTGGAATTAAATTGTGGGCATGTGGGAAGTTCATTCAGACACCCCTAGGCAAAATAGTGGTACTCCACAAATTATATGCCAGGTAAAAATTACACCTTAAGACCAAATGTCTGAGTCTGGACCTCCAGTATCTCATCTTGAAAATGTGGACAATAGCTAAATGACCTTCAACAAACACATACCTTTCTTCAATGGCTCAGGCTTTTTGTCATTTTTTTCCCTCCATGGAATGCTTATAGATGGGAAAAATGACTTCTTTTCTCTGATTTCTTCCTCTTCATTTTTGTACTCATTGGGTGGTGTGGGGTGCACTGCATTTGCTCTGTCTTCTTTTCTCCAACCCCTGTCTGATTCAGCTTTCACGAACCTTTGCCCGAGCGTATCAGCTAGGTTTGATCTGTTCATTTTAGAGAGAGGAGATGATGGTGGCGTCTGGCTGGTGGGCTTTGGAGCTAAAGCAGGTTTCTGTGGGACCAGTGACTTGCATGCAGGTTTCTCATGAAGGGCTAAAGCACTCTGGCCTATGGCTGGTAGGACCACTGGTGAGCCTGCTGGTTGTGAAACCTCCACCACAGTAACTGGAGAGTCTTTTGAGTCTTTTAAATTACCAGGGACTCTTCCCATGCCAGGGGATGTACTCTCTTGTGGAGCAAAAACAGGGGATTCTTTCTCATCTTCCGTTGTAACTAGTGGGTCAGGCACACCATCAAAACTATCTCCTGCACTGTATCTTTTCTTTTTCTTCTGTTCTGCCTGTTGATCATAATGGAAACGTAAGGAGTAGTTTGTCCTTCGTAACTTTATCCCAAAAGGAGAAATATTTTCTTCTCCATTTGGTGCTGGTTTATCCACTTTTTTGGTGTTGTTATTCTGCTGATTTTCCAGAGCACTGGGAAGTTCTGTCTGGGGTAGTTCTTTACCCGGAGAATGAGAAAAGCTTGGAACAAGGAAAGATGGAAGATCTTTTGCAAATTTACAGCCTTCTGTGTTGTCTGTCATTTCACTACGGGTTTCCATTTTCTCCTTGGCCTTTTCAGTTAAGTTATCCTTAGAAGTGGAAGCCGCATCCTCCTTCAAATCAGTGGATGAGCCAGTGATTCTATTCACAGCCACTGTTTCACTGCCTTTTGCAACACTTACATTCTCAGTGTGTGAACTGGATTTTGAAGCTTCTGAAAATTTCTGCCATGCTGGCGTTATCGAGAACTTTGCATTCGCAGAGAGGGTTTTCCTCAAGTTGCCATGGGGACCACCTCGTCCTCGGGGTGTCCAGTCATCACTGTGTCTGCAGACACTCCCTCGGTCTCTCTCGTTGTATTTGCCGTTTTCTGCGTTCTTCAGGATCCTGGAGCGGATAGAGGCCCACTCAGCAAGTACTGCCTGGTTGTTCACTGTTTCCTGTGCATATTTAATTTTACTGCTGCTGGTTTTGGGATCCTGTTTTTTTTTCTGGGCCTTCTCTGGTGAGGGAATATCCACATTTTTTCTCTCTTCTGTTAAGCCAAGTAATGATTTACAAGCCGTGTCCTTTATCTGGTTCAAGTTAACTGCTGTGCCACACAGCTGTGCTCCCGTAACCAGAATAGCTGTATGGGGTACACACACAGATGATGGAAGTGTATGAGAGACCTTGCTGGAAGTGTGTGTCCTGTAGTCTTTGATGGATGAAGAAGACAGTCCTGCTTCCTTGACAGGCATGACTGGACTCAGATTTACTTTCTGAAATATGATCTCTTTATCTCCAGAAGACACCTGAAATGTGAAGGGTCTGGATGTGGTTTGTCTTTCATCTACCTCTTGCCACCTTAGTTCTTCCCCTATTCGCTTTTGCTCCTGAGCCTCAACTTCTCTCTTCAGTTTCTCGGCTAGGACTTCTTCTGCTGTTTTATTTCCTTTTTCTGGCTGTTTGAGTTTTGGGGATCCTGATCCTTCTTGAAGCTTCTCCTGTACTGGGTGCCTATCACCCCCTCCAGTACACAACTGAACCTTGTCCTGTTGCTGTTCCAAGAACTTTTCTTGTTGGTTTTGCTGAAGGCTTTTTCCTTTTGTGTCTACTTCCTGCTCTTCCAGCTTATTCCATTCTTGTTCATTGTGTTCCTTTAGCTGCTTCAGTTCATCTTGTGGCACAGTTTCTGCACTTTCCATGTGCATTTGTTTTGTGAGTTTGTGTTTTCTCTGCCCTTCCCATTTCTTTTTCTTATCCATTACTTGCTGGGGATGTTCATTCTCTATCTTTTCTCCTTTCTCTTTCAAATGCTGCCTTTGTTCCTCCTGTTTTTTCTGTTGTTTGAGGCTCTCAGGTTTTTTCTCCTGTCTCTTTATTTCATCTTCTGGAAACTCTTTCTCTTCTAGCTCTTGTCTCTGTTTTTCTTCCTTATCCTTGAGTTCCTTTTGTTTCTCCAGCCAATTTCTTTCTTCTTCCTCTTGATGCCATTTTTCAATCTCTTGTTGCCTTAATTCTTCCTGCTCTAGCCTCTTCTGCTCCTCCAGCTCTTGTCTCTGTTTCTCTTTCAGTTTCTTGCACCTGTGCTCTTCCCATTCCTGGTGCTTCTGTTTCTCCAACTCCTGATGTCTCTGTTGTACCTCCCGTTCTTGGAGCTTCTGCTCCTCCAGTTCTCGTCTCTGTTTTTCCTCTTGTTCTCGGAGCTTCTGCTCCTCCATCTCTCGCCTCTGTTGCTCCTCCTGTTCTTGGAGCTTCTGTTCCTCCATCTCTCGCCTCTGTTGTTCCTCCTGTTCTTGGAGCTTCTGCTCCTCCATCTCTCGTCTCTGTTGCTCCTCCCGCTCTCGGAGCTTTTTTTCCTCCAGCTCTCGTCTCTGCTGCTCCTGTTCTTGGAGCTTTTTTTCCTCCATCTCTCTTCTCTGTATCTCCTCCTGTTCTCGGAGCTTCTGCTCCTCCAGCTCTTGTCTCTGTTTTTCCTCCTGTTCTCGGAGCTTCTGCTCCTCCATCTCTCGTCTCTGTTGCTCCTCCCGTTCTCGGAGCTTCTGCTCCTCCAGCTCTTGTCTCTGTTTTTCCTCCTGTTCTCGGAGCTTCTGCTCCTTCACCTCTCGTCTCTGTTGCTCCTCCCGCTCTCGGAGCTTTTTTTCCTCCAGCTCTCGTCTCTGTTGCTCCTGTTCTTGGAGCTTTTTTTCCTCCATCTCTCTTCTCTGTATCTCCTCCTGTTCTCGGAGCTTTTGTTCCTCCAGCTCTTGTCTCTGTTGTTCCTCCTGTTCTCGGAGCTTTTGTTCCTCCAGCTCTTGTCTCTGTTGTTCCTTCTGTTCTTGGATCTTCTGCTCCTTCACCTCTCGTCTCTGTTGCTCCTCCCATTCCCAGTGCCTCTGCTCCCCCAGTTCTTGTCTCTGTTGCCTCTCCAGTTCCTGGTGCTTCTCCTCCAGCTCTTGAACCTCTTGCTCCTCCAACTTCTTCCACCTCTGCTTCTCCAGCTCTTGGAGCCTCTGCTCCTCCAACTCTTGCCTCTTTTCATCCTCCAGCAGTCTTCTCTCATCTTTATGGCATGTTTGCTCTTCTGTTTCCAAAGTTGTCTCTCCTTCAAGGAGATACTGCCTCCTCTCTTCTTCGCAACACCTTCTCTCCTGCTCTTTCTGCATTTGCTCAAGTTCTTGGCACTTTCGTTCTTCCATTTCTCTTTGTTCTTCCATTTCTACAATCTGCCTTATCCTTTCAGCCTCTAAGATCCCCCAATGGTCTTCCATTATTTTCTCCTCTGCCAGTTGAAGCTGTTTCTGCTCCTCTCTGTTCTGGATTAGTTTGTCTGTTATGATGTGTCCATTATAACTTGGGTATCTGTCTCCATATAGCTGAATTTCTAGGTCCTCTGGTTCAAATTCTGTTATTGTTAAACTTTGTGATCCCTAAAATCAGGAGAAAGTTTTGGAATTACTGAATACTGCATATTGGCTTGTTATTCTTTATAGTGAACAATCAATCAGTTGTAAGTGAAAATTATATATATTTTTTTTAACAATTATTTTGATACAGAGCCAACACATGCACTCCAATGTATGGATCACACCATTATAGATCCCATGCCTCTCACCTATTTGGATGATAGCCTTTAAAAGAAAGAAAACATCCCAACAGTGATTACAGTATAATACTAAATACTCAATCACCATTTGGTGTACATGAGCTAATTTGGATTGAGACCTGCCATTTCAAATTTACAGAGGCCCAGGGAACAGAGCATAAGTTTTGTATGCTTGTTCTACTACTTAGAACTCTGTCCTTTAAGCCTGAAATAATTAGCACCTGCTTAAGGGCGTTACTTTGCCAGTTCTGTCATGGCAAATCTAGCTGTTACTTGCAGAGACAGAAGGTATTGCCTGCAGAAAAGATCTCTGCAATGCTGGCCAGGAAAGAACACTGCTCAAGGAAACACAATTTGCTTGCTTTTCACAGATCCTGAGCTATGATATCTTCCTCGTTAGCTGTGCTGAGACTCCAGTTCTATTGCTAGGATTGTAAGACCGTGCGTGGAGAGAGAACCTAGAGCTCTCCAGCAATATTGTGCTGTACTGAGGCATATGCTACCTGCTACCTGGTTCTCCCTGCCTGCCCCAAAGCCCTGTGGGGCATTCAATAAACTGAATTCAGATTTTCTTCTTAACTTATTCCTTGTCTGTGTAGTGACATGGTCTGAAGATGAGCTGCACCCAAAGACTGCTTCCCAGCACTTTCTGTGAGGAAGACAGCTCAGCTAATGCCCTGTCTAGCTATTACTTGATGAGCCTTCTTCTGGCTTCAGTCAAACATTCTGTATAAACAAGAATTTTAAATTAAATTTTTCATAACAATAGTGATAAATCCATGTACAATGGTGTGGAAGAAAGGACAGTGGCCTCTCCTGAACCCTGTATTAGCTGAATAGTCGTGTTGCATTTACAAGAACTGGTAGGATGTCAGGATTAAAAACAAAATACGCATGCACTAAGTTTACAAAATGAGGATTTGATAATTCACTCTAACTGCAGCAAGAACACTTAGGTCTTATTCTTTCCTACAAGACAATGATTTTACCACTGTCAGAAGCCCTGCCAGTTTTAGAGAGAGATTCTCTTTTTTCCCAAGCAAATTTTGCACTATCTGATTGCCTATACCACAGCAGCATTAATAGTGGCAGGTATCTTTCAGACCTTTATGACCCAATTTTTTTACTAGAAAAACCAGAAGTAGAAAGCTCTCTCAATTTAAAATTCTAGTGTAAGTACCTCAGGGGTAAGTTGTCTTTGTCTCTATATTGGCTCTATTAAATCATAGACTATGCTGAGTTGGAAGGGACCCATCATGATCATTGAGTCCAAATCCTGTCACTGTGTAGGGCACCCCAAGAATCATACCATGTGCCTGAGAGCAGCATTCAAATGCTTCTTGAAACTTATTTGCATCTTCTCTTCAGCTAGGGTTTCATTCTTTAGGTCTCTATCTTGATTTCAAGAGAAAATAAAATAAACATGCATTTTGTTTTGCCTTGAAGACATGAGATTTGTTGAGGAAGCTTTCAATAGCTGTCTCTTACAGTGAGCTAGATAGTTAGTGCCTGGTGCACTCAGTTACAGTTATTTTGCATCCAGCTTCAAAAGCAACACCACCCCTTCCCCACCTCACCTCACTGCCCCCTCCCCACGCCTTGCTATTTGACCAGAGATTGAGCACCTTTGTTAGTTTCTTGTGCTTTCTGGACATCCTCTGCTTTTTTGGCTTCACTGACAGCTTGTGTTTAGCTGCACTGTTGTCTAGACGAGCAACAGCCTGGGGAACTGAATCCAAATTGATTGTTTCAATTGTGCCAGAACAGGAAAATTGTCTTTTTGGTCGAGATGATTTGACTGGAGTGACCTGTTAGTATCAAAAACAAAGAAGCTATTAAGCTATTAGTTCCATTTAAATAAATATGTACATACATACATAGATACCACACACACACACAAAGAAAGAGCTTTTCCAGTTTTGAATCCAAAGGAGTTACTAGTAGAAAATATTTCAAACCCTGTTTTTCCATTATACAAATAATTAACTTTGGCCATGAAAGTTGCAGCTGTAATGTTTTCCTATTTCAACTATTATACAGCTTTACAATTTTTACTTATAAGATAGTTAGACCATTCTAACTGAAATTTTTTTCACAGTTTAGTTCCATACATAAGTTATTTAGAAAAGGAAGACCAGAGGCAGAGTTTTGAGCAACATCAAACACTGGGATATTTCAAAGTTTGCTTATTATGGAAAAAATAGCTACATTTAAAATAATTTAGATTATACACTTCAGGCAAGAGCAAGTCAGTTTGTCTTATCTAAGCATTATAATAAAACAGCTACAGAGCTCTACTATATGCATGGGAGATGACTACAAAATTGGACCTCAGACTGGTACAGTGCCTGCAGAAAACCTTCCCTCCACAGTCAATGTGGAGTTGTCCAAGTTAGTACCAAAGAACAGCAAAAAATAAAATAAGATCATACTGGCTTTGATTGGTGCTTTTTTCTCTTGCCCTTCAAACATTTGGGTTCAGAAGGTGCAAATATGAAGTGATTTAGTGAGACTCCTCTCATGAATAAATACAGTGGAACTGTATGTCTAGACGCGCAAGAGTGAGCCTGTAATCAGTCTGTCCCATAAGTCACCAAGCTGTCATCCCTGAGACCGGTGCTTGGCACAATTCAAATGGATAAAGAAGTCAGAAAAAAAAAAAAAAAAAAAAAGACAGGAAAAAACATCTTCTGTAAGGAAAGAAAATCACATACATTGTTTTCAAGACAGCACTGTAATCTTCCAAGGTTCAACATATGCTAATTAGGGAACCAATTACTTAAAAGCTGATGGAACATTTTGCATACACTTATTGAATTACATGTAGGCATAACAAAGTAGTAGAAGTACTTATGAAAATTATGGCTCTGTGATTAATACATCAATCGCAGGAATGTTGCAAGACTAGCAGACACTCTGTTCTGCTGTTCCCTGCAATCAACTCTTGTAGATTTCTCAATCTTAGTTATTGCTTATTTACTAGCCCCAAAACTGCACAACATTCACAGAATCTTGGATGGTCATGAAAGAATGAAATGTGTAGTAAAGCAAAAACTCTCAGGCTTCTAATAACTAAAATTAGAAAGTAACTTAGTGCACACCAAGGGTAAAAATAATTGTTACCTTTTCTTCCACTTCATGTCCTGTTTCAGGCAAATTCATTGCTCTCAACATATCTGGAGTGTTCGTGGACTAGAAAACAAGAAGATTACCACAGCTAGACACTAAAATGTAAAAGAGCCAAAAGATATAATTCAAAGAACTTGTGAAATTATGCATTTAGAGTAGGATTTTTACAATTTCCTGTCACTGCAGGACTGATGGATAAGCAATTCTTGATTCTAAATGCTGTGAGTTTCTCTTGTTGCTCCTTGTATCGCTGCTGTCTGTACAGAAGCAGATGCTGATACAGGACACCACGAAAGGCAAATTGCTCACGCCTCCTCAGCAAGATACCCAGGTTCCAAATAAATAAATATGTAAATGAAAAAAGTTTTGTAGGATTTCAATCAGCTCTAAATTACTTTATTTCCTCCTGACCTACCCCTAAGGAAAAAATGCAGGAACTTGATCAAACATTAATTCTGCTGCAAAGAGGTTCAACTCCAGGTTCTTGGCAAGTCCTCTTCTTACAAAGCAAACTGGCTACCCTGGAGCAAGCAGAGCCTGGCACTCTGGGATTCCTTAGCTATCATTCCTTTCCAAGCCATCTCACAGGAGGGGATTTTTAAGGCTCAAGGTTTGAAGTGGTGTTCATCATGCCCTGAAACATTGTTTTTAATCATTATATGACCGTACTACTTCATAACCTAATGAATGCTGGGATCCCATTACACCAGGTGCACATAGTTATTAGTATAAGGCCTAAATAATCAGCTTTTCAAGGGCAGACTAAATGAAACCTCAAACTCTTGCCATTGATTCCAGTTACTCAGTTGAGAACGTCAAAAGTCACAAAGCAACACAGGAAATCTTTTTGAAGGACAGCAGTGCTACATGGTCCTTGCCACCAAGTCCTGACAGAGGCCAACCCTGTCACCCCAGGACTATGCAGATAATCATGCAGAGGAGTTACAAGGCCTGAGGCAGAGAAAGGAGCAGACAGCAGGTATGGTGCCATGAAGCAGAAATCTGATCTAGCAGGTAAAGAGTGGGGTGTGGTAAGAGAAGAAGAAAGTACTGAGTGCTTTAGGTCACCCTGTGCATGTAGTATTGGTTTGTTAGTGCCTGCAGTCTCTGAATAGGCATGATTGCTCCTTCAGCTTTTGGAAAAAGAATTATGCAAAAGGACATTAATTTCATCTTGAAAATATAATACTTAAAAGAATAGGTGGTAAGGATGGAGTCTCTCCCTCTTTATTTACAAAAAGATGCTCCATTGTGTTTTTAGTGCTTGAATCATTTTCCCCTTTGAGCTGTAGGACACTAAGTGACATTCGGGTCTCCTGCAGGACCCAGCAGGAAGGCTGGTTGCAGAGAGGGTAGGTTGGTCTCAAACACAGAGTATCACCTAGTACCAGAGTACCTAACCAAAACCTGCCCACAATCCCACTGCACTCTTTGTGCACACAGAGTGCTCTTGATTGACCTTAACTGACTGCTCCTAAAGGGAGTATTTGTGCAGCAGAAGAAATATCCCTTAGTTCGGCTGCGTTTTTATCCTCCCAGACTGCAAAGGGTGAGGCATAAGTGTGCAGGTCCAACCCAAATGCCTGGCTCTCTGACAGATCCGACCACAACCATGAAGGAAGTGGTCAAAGAAGAGCTATGTCGCCCCTTGAAGACTGATGAGGAATTTGGGCCACTAGGCCATAAATCTCCCTTCGGTGTGCCTTCCCCAAGGGTTCTTGGGCACAAAGTCAGCTTCTTCCAGACAGGGATGGGTGTCCTTCTGATCCCTACACTCCCTCCAGCCATTACAGTCATACAGAGAACCAGTCTTGCCTTAGAGGATTTTCAGAGAGCTTCCATCACTGCATTTTTCTGTTGTCTGATCAAGAACCTTCTGGACAACAGAATGTCTACAGGTCGTCGTATAAAATTCAAATGTATAAGTTGAATAATTATTATAATTATACTGGATGTTTGGATTTAGAGAGCATTCTCAAAATGTTTCTCCCTCTTCTTTGCCTTCAGTTTTGCCCATAAGAAATACAGATATTTACCCCAACACCCAATATTTTATGGGTGTGGCTCCAGACCCCTCTCATTTTGGAATTTTTTCCTTTTTGCCATTTGATGCCATGCGCAACTTTCCATGCTGGAAGTCCATATTTCAAGGCATTTTCTGTAAGATAAAAAATTCCTGTCTTCTAGCTACACTGTGAGTGATGTCTGCTTTGTCGGAAGCTCAGAGCAGACGTTCAAATTGGTAATTCTGCGGGACCCAGCTCAGGATGCCAAGAGCACATGCTTCTCGCCAGTCCAAGAAGCATGAGCACATCCCCATGAAGCAGCCCGCTGGGCTCAGCTATGCCTCTCTGGAGACATCTGCTACACTCCAGTGAACTTTACTGTTCTAGTACCACTGTAATGCATACAGTGATTTAAAGTGCTTACTTTATTACCACTGTCAGAGATCACTGTGTCCTGCTGCTGAGCCTCTATCTCCATGGGGCTACTGAGCAACGTATCCTCTTCTGTATTAGTGTTTGCCTCACCCAGTGTCTTCACAGAAATTGTCATTTGTGGAGGCTGCCCAAATTTTATATTCTTGGCCAACTGTTGCTGAAAAACAAGAAAAAAAAAATATAAAAAAATCATATTATGAGCAAAACAAGCCAAGTCTAGCATATGCCCCTTCTCCACGTGAAAGCTGCAGCGAAACACTCTGGGAAACTTCTGACTCTAGAACAAAAAAAACCCAACAAACAATCTTGAAGCTCACATTGCTGCAACATGCTGGCCAGTCCTCTCATTTCTCCCCACAAAGTGACCAAAGTCAGGAATTCACTGCACGACTTTTGATTTTGGCTGCTTAATTTAAGTTCTCATCAGTGTTGTCAACTTTTGCAAACTTCCTGTGAATTTTGAAATGCTCCTTTTTAAATAATAAATCCTAGGTTAAGACTTTGTTTAAACAAGCTAGATATGAAGCCTTTCTGTCACAAAGAAATAAATCATGAGCCAAGTGTACACAGAGAAGTTAAACAGCCCCAAAAGGCAACTGGTTTCTTCTCCAGCCCCTAAACCCTGCATCTCATGCATCTGTAGCTCTTAAGGATATCCTTACGGTGAGGTTTAGTCATAAGTTTTAAATATTAAGGGTGTGGCATAACCTGGTTTTAGAGGAGGCAAAGTCTCAAAGGAGAGGAAACTCAGCTTCTGTAGATGCTTCATCTCATAGGAATAGCACCCAAACTCATGTCTGCTCATGGGCACTGCTGCATCACTGCTTTTGCACAGACAAGTTTATGCAGGGGACATGGAGTAGATGAAAGGATAAAAGCTTTCCCACCATTTATTTTCCTTGTTGATGTAGTCTTCTCTTGTGGGTTACAAGAAAGTACTCTTGAATTATATCAGGCGTTAAGATGAGTAAAATAAGTAGCATATAATATCTGGCCTCTGGTAGGCTGAACTGGAGAAATTACAGCCCTGGCTACTGCAAAGACAAACACCAAACAGTCTTTGAAAGTGAACTTCTCTTTTGTTTAGAGTTATGTGGGGAAGAAAAGAACAATTTCCCACATTGCAAGAGTTGGAAGAAAATCTCTGAAGGAGCAAATGGAACAAGGAACTTTTTTTAATAGATTTTCTTTCAGAAATATTTCTGGGAATCATTGTCAACTAGGAAGGAAGAAGCTGTGGAGTTATTTTCCTGCTTTACTCTCTTTCAAGCACAGAAAATTCCCAAAAGGAAATTTCCAATTCTCTCTTGTGTTACTATGAACATCTACAGCTCAGCAAAACTCAGTTTGACTGTGCAGCTTCTATTCAGTGGGAATGTCAGATACATAGATGGACCCCTGACATGAGTTTGCCCCTAAGAACCGCAAAAGTTTGGAGTAGATAGCATGAAAAACAAAGATTTTTTTTTCTCCTATAGCACAGAATTGGTAGCATGGCTCAGGTAAGCAGTTGGCAAGGGAAGATTTGCTTTGAGCAGCCTGGTCTAGTGGGAAGTGTCCCTGCCCAAGGGACTAGAGGGACCACAGGCACTGGAGACCTTCTTAATAGAATCATCAAGCTGTGCTCCAGACCAGGTTTACCTCTCTTCTATGAGATTCAAGAGGTGCGTGAGTTTGTCTATTCACACCCACCTCAGGTGGCCGTCGGTGCAGTGCCACTCAGCCTAAGGTGAGGGGTAGTGCTGCATGTCTAATAAAGACAAAGAAATATTGGGAATTCAGGGAAAAAAAATGAAATTTGCACTCATCTGATTTATAACATCTTCCTCAACTACTACACCATGACACAGCTCCACTTTTATTTTGTGTAAAATAATTTGCTAAAATGTGATACCATTTACCTGCCATCTTTACACCAGCTTACCATTACTAACATCAGAAATTAAACTCCTAAGTTAAGTTGCTCTACATTGCTTGGCACCTGCAGCAAATTAAAAAGCTTAGACTTTCAAAGCACTCTTTGTGTTTGCATAGGAAATGCCAGAGAACAAACTTTCCATATTAACCGGCAGAGAGCCCAGATTGGGCTGTACATTTCCTCTTTCACTCCAGTTTGGCTCCTCTTCTGTGTACATGCCTGCTTGCATTCATGTTGGATTCAGCCCCCTGAAACCACATCATTCTTACAGCTCTGTGCCTGGAGTGAAGGCAAAGCTGGATCCACTGAGTTGCTTACTCTGTTCAGTTTAAAATCACTAAAAACAGAGTGTACTATTTCAGCTGATTCCATTCAAACAAGTCCTACAAGAGGTGCTGGTAGGATTTGGCCTTCAATACAAATAGCTATTTTTTAAGTCTGTTTGCAATGCCCACGTATATAATGTTTTCTAGTTATATATAATTGTGAAATGATGAGTTAATCAGTAATACTTGGCCTAAGAAAAGCCATACTGTTGAAATTCTTCTCAGTCCTGTACAGTCTTGCACAGTGACCTAAAAAAAAAAAATGCCCTGAGAATAGGTAAGAAAAGGGGGAGCCAATACTGAGATTTTCTTTGTAACGGTCCAATGATTCATGACATCTGAAGACTTTTAGAGTCAATAGCCAGTTGGGAACTTTTATGAATTTGTTTCATTACTCTTTGAAGTTTTATAAATACTTTGTGGAAAACAATGCTGCCTGGTGAGTTATACAGTCCAACTTCCATAAGGAAATGTTTGCTTCAGTTTGAAAGTGTTACTAGTTTAACTGACGTGGTTATTTTTTCCCCCCTCCATCAAAGACAGGGAATAAACTGGACAGCATTATGTGAGGAGTTATGTTGCTAGAGCTGCAGGCTTTAGAAGGTAAAGTAGATGTAAACCTATTGAAAAGGAGGAAAGATTTACCACCAGTCCTGCATACAAGATGCAAGGAGAGAACTATTCCACTCTTCATTGTTGAAGCAGCAGGTGGTTTGGGACATTACACTTCAAGAAGGATTTTGGGACAGTCCAAAATAGAAGAATGGTGAAGAAGCAAATTATATGAAATGACAGGGGAGCCCTAGAGAGATTATTCGGAGCAAACCCAGATGCAAATTAAGATTTCTGCATACAGTGGCAAAGGACTATTTACAGATGGTCATGTGTTAAGAGCAAGATTTTCTGGAGAAGCTTGATGATACTTACAGGATCAAAGACTTTTGTCACCTGACTCTCCCCTTGCAGTGTACCAAAAGCAAAGCAGATGTGAGTAAGGAAAGGGGAAGCTCATTTCCACGGCTTAATATGATCATAGAAAAAAAAGAGGATCTGCCCCAGAAATGCTGGAAAAAATGCTAAAGTCAGTTTATAAAATGAAAACAATTATCAAATGTTATGAAGACAATTAGGTTGCAGTGGCACTAGAAAATATTGGCAGCAAAGAAATTAATTACAAGAAATACAAAGCCAGGCAATCATGCAGTGCAAATTCACTCTCTACTCTACAAGATGCAGAGCACCAAGTTAAAAGATAATACCTTGGAGGTTTAGCAAATGGCTTTGTAGCCTTGTTGAGATCTGGGCAATACCAAACCCAAACAATGGAAATGGCTGGTAGAAGACAGATGTGCAATGCACAGTAGGGGAAGCACTACCTTGATAATTAGCTAAGATACGTTAATGACTAAAAGAAAGGGGATCCAAAACTGAACAGTCGTAAGGTCGGACAAGAAGCAAATGACTTGGCGGCATTTATCACTAAAAAACAGGGAAACTTGAATTTTAAAATCGTCAGTTAGAATTTGACCAAGAAGTCTGGATTCCAAAACCGTGTTTTTATCATAATTTTTTACTATGTAATAAATGGTGGTTTACTAATGTACAGAGCAGAGGCTTTTTTTTTTTTAAACCACATGGCCACATGGAACTGGAAAAGATGTAGCCCAATAGTCCCTAAAAGCAGTAAGCCATATACCATACTCAACATTTAATATTTCTTGCAGCTGAGTGCTGCAGCCTTATGCATGGCAGATGACCTGAATACATTCATTGAAGGCTTAGAGCAGAGAACAAACTGCCCTGCTGCCTCCAGAGGCAGAAGAAGTGCCATGCCACAGTATTGTCACAGTAAAAGGGAGATAACAGCTTAGACCCATCAGGATACTAACACTCAAAACAAGTCCCCACTTTACTTGCTGCAGCTTTTGTTAGTCTGAAACAACAGCAGCCTTCTGTTCATTTGTTGACCGTTTCTGGCAAATATCAGTAGAAAGAAAAGTCACGTCTGTGAAACACAAGGAAGTGGATCTAACACACTTTGATACAAGAAAAAAAACAACACACTACCCTGTGAAACTCCCAGAGCTTCTTTTATGTTTGCTCTGTTGCACTGCTAGACTTAGGTTTTAAACATTCCTTGTGTCCCATTGACAGTCCTGTATGAGAAATAAAGCATCAGATCCCAAGAAACAAAATGAATTCAGTATTAAAACTACCAGTGCCTGAGGTACCATTTCTTTGTGGGAGCAGGTTCGAGCTGACTTTAAGCACTGGATCTTAAAAACTAGGTAATGATAAATCTCAACAGATCCAAAGGACAAGAAAAAGTCTGCTTTTACAACAGCAGGTGCCTTGAGCCAACACGAGTAGCTTCAGGACACACAAAGGCTATTTGGGCTTCTCAGCCTGACTTCAACAACACACTAAAACCTTTTAACATGCCTAAATCTATTTACAGAAACCCAGATAAGAGGAATGCTGCCAATCTTATTATTAATATAAAGATATGAGACCCGGTCCAGAAAGAACTAGTTTACCTTTGCACACAGAAGAGAATTTCTACAATAGGAAGCTGAAGCAGTGCATATGCTGGCCAGCTGCCCAGATTGCTACAGAGTTTTGCACCATTACACAACATTTTTTGTTGGTTCATAAACACTCCAAAGTCAGCAGAAATGAAAGGTGAGGAGGAGGAAATGCTTTGGTGGCGAGCAAAATGAGATCTGGCATCCTCAATATCAAATGGCTTCTATTTCTACTCTGATTTCAAAACACTTCTACTTAAGAATGGTACCTCTTCCAAAGATTTCTGTTTTCCAGGAACATTTTCTGTAAAACCCCCCAAAAATTCATGAAAAGGGTTAAAATCTACAGAGCCTTTGAGAGCTTACAGAGCACAGGGCACTGAATCCTGGCAGCTCTTTTTTACTGAGGAGCATCTTGCCAGGCAAAAGGAAACTGAAGTGCTGTGCTTCCACTGTGACATACAAGCTTGAGCAAACCCACAGTTATGTTCGTGCCTAAGCAATGACTTTACGGGGAGCTGGCCAAAGAACTGGTTTTGAGGAGTGGAACCCTCTTCAGAAGACATGACTGTTTCCTCTTCTTCCACCCCATGAAGAAATACAGATGCTGCCAGTGGGAGTAAGCTTGCAAAAAGGGACTTCAAAGTAGATGCAAGCTTCTGATACCTGAGAACAACTACCAATGTTTTGTGTGATTGTAAAAAGATGCAGCAAAGAGTCTCCTTTCACAAATACTATAGCAGAAGAAAAGGATGGGCTATGAAGTTGTGAGCACATAAAAACCTTCAGAAAGGAGTGACAGTCCAAATAAACTGGTCAGACCTGGGATCCTGCTGTAAGGTCACCTAAGAATGTGCAATGGGATTTTGGCATGATCTTGTCCTAACACTCAGGGAATAGTTACGGAGATCATGGCTAGGGAAACGGTGACATTCATGTGCTGGACAGCAGGTTTTGCAGGTACAAGAGGTGGCCCCTGGGCTTGTTCTATGGACCCTTCCCATGAGGTCATGAAAACAAAATCCATGGACATTCAGATGGATATATAACTCCTCTGTAAACATGTAAATAGACAAAAGTGCAATTTACAATCTATTATACATTTCCTTTCTGATGTAATGGATTGCTCTAGGTATCACCATCTTCCGTAGAGCAGAAAAAGCTGAATTGGGGATGTTGTTACAGGATGGGTTGCAGCTATATTGAAATGATAAAAATAACTACTATCCTCCAATTTTAAATAAAAATGTCAGCATACAGCTAAAACAACACTCTCCCTTAAAATACACCCCCAAAAAAGGTTCATGCAAAGTTCACACAAGCAAGTGTCACTGCCTATTAATTTTGTGACTTTCAAGAGTGACTATTCTTGTTTTAATTTTCTTGAGTTACCATTTGCTTAGTGAAGATGTATGTTAGCATCTGCAATAACTGTACTTTTAATCATATTTCTGTGTTTAGTGAAGGCAATTATCTCCACTGGGAATGTTAAGATGTGTTTGAAAGTGGGAGAAACCACTTCCACCGAGTTCCGAGAAAAACTGATGTACTGAAGCTGAGACCAGAGATGCAACAGAAGTCAGTGGGCTTTGTATCCAAGGAACAGTCAAGCCTTGTGTAAGACAGGTCTAAGCACCTCAGGTCTTTGACCAGTCAGCAGTCATTTAAAAAATAATGATTTCTAGCCTGGAAAGTAGCATGCATTCAATCTACCTGAGCCAGAGAAATTTAAGCTGAAAAACCAGCACAGGGAAATTGAAGCTGTCTTAGCATGGCTTTTGCTTCAAAGTTCATCTACTGTCAGCAAAGCCAATGCTGTTCAGGTGCTCTGTCTGCTGACTGCACTGGGCAGGAAGAGGGAACAATTTCATCCTGAAGGTTGGATCTGCCTACTGTGAGTGATCTCTCACTCACTGGAAAAGATGCACTGTGAGTAGACTTTGGAGGTAAAAGAAATTCAAGGCATTTCACTAGTCAGGAAGAGGGTAACAGCATATACACAGCATTAGGAATTTATCAGCATTTTGACAGGACATGTCAGCCTCCTAAGCAATACTGAAATGTGCATCTGAAGGACAGCTCTTTCAAGGCCTAGATAGGTGTAGAGCTGGGAATCTGATTGATGTACAAGACAAAAATATAGTTACAGCACTAACACGACAGAGTTCTGGAAGGGAAAGCAGGTCATGTAAAGCTGTTCAGAAGCAAATAACCAAATGAAGTGTTTATGTAGTTACATATGTGCTGTTTGCTTTGGAGAGATAAACATATCCACCTTTCATGAGAACCACTGGAAGGACAGGAAGGAACAGCAGGAGAAAAAATAAAAAGTAATGCTTGTAAAAGGATAATTAAATCAGCTTTACAAAGGAGTCTCACTCTGCATGCCATTCCCTGTCACCAACATCACCCTCATTTTTTCATTCAGAACCACATCTGTAGGTCTCAGAACAGTTCAGGACATGCCAAGACCATGAGTTCAAATGAGTTGCACACAACGCCAACACTTCCGCAGCTTTTCTTGCAGCATCACTGCTGTACCTTTCAGGACCAAAACAATGACCTTCTGCAAATTATCAGAATGATTTACATGTCTTTTGGCCAGATATCTTACACGGATGAGAAACCATCCTAAGACTATTGAAAAAGCAACCCACCTTTATCCACATTTAACACATTCTGGAGACCATTTCCCACCACATTTTAAATATTTTCCCCACTTACAATTTCTTACCTGAAGAGTTTTGACTTTTCCTAAAACGTTCTCCTGTGACATTGCTTGGATGGCCTGTTCACCCTCTGTTCTCCCATCAGGTATAAAAATACTGTCATGGGAAAATGCTCGACTGCCCATAGAATAATGGGAGGACCTGTAATTAAAACAGTTGAGAAGTAAATAAGCACAGTGCTTATTTTAGAAGAGTGATCCTTCATATCATAGCTGCTCTACCATATAGATTTCCCCTCACCCTTGCCTTCACCATAAAAGCTTTAAACAGCCTCAGAAGGGACGTATCCAAACATTTTCTCTTATCAAAAATTTAACACATTGTATCTTCATGTACAGATTTTTTTCCCAGAAGAATACTGAGAGGGGTGTTTTTAGTAGGGATGTTGAAAAGTGCAACTGATTTTCCTTAGAAGCCTCAAATCTAAATGGTACTTCTAGGATACTGGGTAGGTGATGATGATATATTCAACATATTTAGAAATGCTGAAATCATGCTTTATCCAGCCAAGGTACAAAAGGCAAGACAGCAGGTCCCAAGCAAAGGTAGCACTACAACACAAAAAGAACGACCTGCTTCTAAAGAGCTACCTCATTTAGTTGATTACTTAGCTGTTCCTATCACCACAAATGTGATCACACTGACAATAATATGCTATTATCAAACCCCCAAACTGATAAGAAGCTTATTACACCATCCCATGCAGGTCTGATTTGCAATAAATAGTGAGAAATGCCCATGTGCTACTGTTGAGCTGGACACCCATGCCAAGGAGGAGAGTGTGTCACCAATGACCTAGTTATATGGCTGCTCTAAATCCACGGGCAAAAAGATTAAGCAAAAAAATATTTTCTTTACTGGAGATTTTAAAGGATCATCAAGAAAACTGAGAATTAATAATAATAATAAAAAAACGCCACAACAAACCATTTGCCTGTTGTTACTTTGGCTTCAGGAGGCATCCTGGGGGAAAATGTTTGAAAGTGATCTTTTGTCTCACTTAGACTATTTTATGGTGAGTGGAAAGCCAGTAAAATACAAACATGACAAAAGCCACAGCAGAAGAAAATTCAGCTGAGAGGTCTTCCTTTAATAATCTATTGACAACTCTGTGGAACCCACTTACAGTTTCAGTAAACCAACAATTTGGGAAAAAAAATGCACTTTTTATACCAATATAACTAACACAAGCTTCTGTTTGATCACCTATGTGATTATAAACTAGAATTTCACCGAAAGCAAAGAGGATTATTCTTCCAGAAAAAGGGATAGGAAAAAGAGGAGGAAAATATAAAGCCTCTCATATTTATGAAAATCAGTATATGACTTTGTTCTGCATTTCAAAAATGTGCTAAAAATATTTCTATTTATACTTCAAAAAATGTTTGGAATATATTTATTACATCTTTATCTCATTTTTTTCCTGCGGTATGAAAAAAACCCTTTCTACTTAAAAATTATAATTAGAATGTTATATAGGGTTATATTAACCTTTTAGAACTGATTAAATGATAGGCTAATCTTGACTTTTATAACAAAATTTCTTACAGAAATCCTGAAAAGAATAAGTAAAAAGCCACCCACAACCTCTTAATGTCTTTAGTGCATATTTAAAACACATTTGCACTCACAAAATAAATCACCTAAGCTTTTGGAGAGAACACACACAGTGCCCTATATTATTTAATCCTCCATGCAAGCAGAGACTAACTGAAAAACTATTTTTAACCCAAAATTAATATTTTAACAACATACTTTGTTTGAAACAAACCAACACACAATCGAGCAAAGAGCTGGTCAATATTTCATAACATTTTTAGCTATCAAGGAGGGGAAACATTTAACTGATGCTAGTGCTATATCCTATTTTAGGTTGTTGGTTTTTTATAGAAAACACAACTTGATTGCCTCGGGCTGCTAAAGGTAATATACCTTATTTTAGAAACCATCTGTTAGAGAAACCATAAAAGTATATTTTTAAATCCTCTTCTAAAAAGGTTTCTATAAGGAATCATCATGACTCAGCCTGTACATAGCACTGTGGTAAAATTGCATGGCATTGCAATACAACCACCTCCCTTCCCCATCCAGGAATCAGCACATGAACCACAGTTTGAGAAATATCCCTTAAATGGAGACAAATTCCTTGCAGGACCAGCTTGCAAAATTAGTGGTTTGACACAAAGCTGAATGAAAGTTGACTTTTCCATACAACCACGTAAGTCTGTCTGAACCAAACTGCATTGCATTCAACAAAGGGGGATAAAAGTCTGTATTCACAACCAAGACTGAGGGGAACATGCAAAATTTGACAAACTAGCCTATGTCAACCCCTCCTTCATTTGCATGGTTTAATACGTGAAGAAACTGCCGCAGGTTCAGAAAGCAAGGCCAGTTTACCTTTCCGCTGAGAGATGTGCTGATGATGCATAATCCAGGTCATATTGTGCTCCAGAGAGGAACATCTCTCACAGATTTTCCCAGCAATTCTGTGGCTCAGATACCTGTGGCTTTGTCTCACAGTTCTTCACTGTGTGTATGACACCATTCTCCTCTTTTACTGTCCAGTGGGTTGGCATTCTCGTACTTAAAATTAGACACCTCATGTTTATCCCTGTTGTTTGCTACAGCTAATTAGTAGGCAAAGGTTGCAATTCAGGCACCAAAGAACTTAGTGACTTGCTTGCAAGTTGTTCTTGACCTTACTAATGAGTTTGTTAATATTTAAGTTGGGAACAGCCATCCTGCAGCTTTTGAACTGGACAGAGTTTGCTAGCAGTTCAAAATCCCAAAACTTCAGCTCACCAGCAGTAGGGATGATCTGGCAGCAGAAACTGCCTGATAACCTGAGTCCCTGAGATGGAATTTTTAAATGAGCAATTAGCAAGAGGACAAGGGGGAATGGTTTTGAAGGGGAGATTTAGATTAGATATTAGGAAGAAATTCTTTATTGAGAGGGCAGTGAGACACTGGAAAAGGTTGCCCAAGAAATTTGTGTGTTCCCTTCCTGGAAGAGTTCAAGGCCAGGCTGGATGGAGCTTTGAGCAACCTGGTATAGTGGAGGCAGAGAGGTTGGAACTAGATCATCTTTAAGGCCCCTTCCAACCCAAACCATTCTGAGATTCTGATTCTATGAAAAGAGAGACTACTGAGGTAGTGCTGGTGAACTGCCTAGGACATGGCTGATGATTATGATCTTCCCCATCCTGCTACAGAGCTAACACCCCTTTTTTCACTCTCCTTGTGTTCTACTTTCAGAAAGACTGATTTTAAGTTATATTACATGATTAATAATTGAGTTCCCTTCCCTGCTACCACCATTCCCATCTCTAAAGATTTTCTCAGAAGCCTTTACACAGTACCATCCTCCCAATCTCCATCTACAGTAGACTGTGTAGAAAGCCCTCCCTTGTGTGCTGGGAATGGCTTTTGACAGGTTTGTGGTGTGTCAGAGACCTAGGCTATAGTTGTAGCTATAGTTAATGGTAACACAGTTTCAAACTGCCATTTCACTTCCAAGAGATGTGGGAAAACAAGTGGCATCAGTTTATGATCACTTCTGTGGATAACACTGATGATGACACTTCAGAGGCTGTTTCTGCTGAAAATAATGGAATTGTCATCTGACTCACTTCCAGAAACCTGACTGAATTAAATGAATTATGGATGTGCTATAGCAAAATGCAAAGTACTTTCAGCAAATCCTTTGAGATATTCTCTCTGAAGATGTGTTGTAACCCAAGTATCATGTTCCTGTTTCAGTTCCAAACCAAAAATTTTCAAAATTAGTTTCCCATTGTCAAAGTGAAGTTAAATTCTGTGCGTTCTCAGAGGAGTTTTTTGACATACCTGTGTCCCTCTTCAGATTCCTGAAGGCAAGTAGAAATACTTGGCTTCTCAGCAAAACTAAGGACATACTTTTCACTTTTTGTTATTAGGATGAAATTATCAAAACCTACTGCATTTTAGAGAATGTCTGAGGGGTTCTCTGAAATATGTGGGCTTTGACACACAGAGTGCACCAGAATATGTCTTATCTTCAGAGTACCCCAAGAGCATAAAAGTGCAGCAGAGCCAAGCATCCCATAGGATTTTTACAAATTATGAAGCCAGTGGTGTCAAAGGTGTGGGGAATAGAGCAAGACATGGAGTACAAGGATCACACCATATCTTGACATTCTAACCTGAGTTTGACTGTATTTAGCTGTAAAAAGTGATGCACAGAATACATTGCATTCCAAACTAGGGTTCTTCTGTGCAAAATGCATCTTTATCAGACCCTTTGTGAAATTAGGTGCTGATAAATTCATTCCCCTTGAAAGGGAGAGCACCTTCTATTGTATTTCAAACTTCTGGAAGATTCCCAGAAAACGAGAGGTAAAACAGACCACATAGGTACTGAAATTATCACAGATCTAATGCTTCTATACATGAAACTGGCTGGCAAAAACCTCTGTACAGTGGACCCTCTTCCCCTTATTCACTCTAGGTGAAGTGTTTGTGTGTGCTAAGAATCTAGGAAATGTCAAACAAATCCCTCACAGTGGAATGGAGCCACTCTGAGCCTACAAGAAAAGTCCTACTCTTCTCCCATGAAGACCAGCAAACTCAGAGGGATTTCTCTTTGGATCCCCATCAGCCACCATTGCTATGCATCTGCACCTGTTCAGGATGCCATCTGCTCTCAGCTCTAGCTGCTCCAAGTCAGGACTGGGTGAGGTATCACCCTTTCTTCCTTTATCTTCCATCCCCCATGTTCCCATCACTTCTTTTTTAACTATTCAGTGCTTATGGTTCACATGAGAGAATTCAAAAAGCTGTTCTGGCTGAACAACTAACTCCAAAAACACCCAAACCAAACAAAGAACATATCACCAAATCCCCAGAGATCCCACACAGCTTTCTGGTTCAGCTGAGCAAACACTGCCACAAACATTCATGACAGCTGCATAGCAGGAGAGCTGCTGGACAGAGTTAGACAACTGCAGTCCAGGCTTTGACCAGCTCATTCTGCTGTGGGACTACACCTTGAAGTACATCAGAATCTGTACAGGGGTGATACTGCAAAGAATACCTCAGTACTACCTCAGTACTGGTGGCTATTATGTTTTAGACCCCATTTTCCTCCGGAGCTACTTTTC